AAAGAGTGTATTAGTTTGATTTTCTTTTCCAAAGAGGGTAAATGCAAGTCTACCATTACTTCCATAAATTTAATTTAGCAGGAACTGGAGTACCTCTCTTTTTACTACACTCTCAAAACACTATATGCAACCTCTATAAAATGCATGCATCTCTGCCTGTCTAAAATATATGTTATTGAGGAATTTACACCCTTTTCATTACTGTGCACTTGGATTTGCCCTATGAGACTGCATTTCCTTAGAATTGATTTTTCACATTCCTGTAGTGATGTTCTCCTATAAAACTCATAGTAGATGCCATTTGAAAGGTTCTCATTTCAAGCTTTTTTAGTGAGTGCCTGGTACCCAGAACAATTTGTCATCACTGGTGGAAAAACAGTATCTTGATATTACTGGGAGGACTTCTTTTACAAGGAGTAAAAATACTATCCTTTGTTGAAGCGAATGCTTCCTTATGTCACATCCATCAACCTAAGTACCGTGGAGTTTCCTAACATTGTAGCACAAGGTTGTTCCTTTTGGACCATGCACTATTATATTGTTGAATCTATTCACAGGTCAGAGAACATGTATTCCTGTTAAATTACAAAATTATTCGTGTTCTGATATTATAGAACAGGCCTGATGATGCATAATTGATCTTTAAGTAATAGATCAGGATGACCAAACCTAGGAAGTTCAAATTCTTTCATCCTTAATTATCGTACATTGGATTAAGACTATTCATGCTACTTGTCATGTTATGTACTTAAGCCACTTATTCTATAGTAAATCTAGCAATGTCAAATAGAGCTTGCTAAGGTTTGCTTTTCATTTTCTTTTCGACTTCCTGTGCCAAACAAGAAAGGTGAGACCATTCAGAGAAAAGTACCAAAGATCATCTGAAGGTCAGCATGCAGCAAGTCCCTTAACACTGAATTTGTCAAAATGTATTGACCTTCTATCCAACAAAACCATATTTTGTATGACACATAGTTGAGGAATGAAACATTTACAAATTTAGATATCATGAAACTGCATTTTAAAATTCAAAACTCCAGCTTGTTTTGAGAATCAGCTAAGTGGCTTTTAGAATGATAAATGCGTTGGTTTTCAAGGTAAGTATTCAGGTATACTATTGTTATGCATATAATTAAATGTTATGCATTTCTGTCAAAGCTGATATCTTGTTTACATAAACATGAGACATCTCTCATGTTCACTATTTTTATGGAAATTTCTGCTTGTAAGAAATAGATATCTTCTTTCCTGTTTTCCATAAAAAAAGTTCATTGTTTAGAGATTTATAACAGCCATTTCAGACTGAAAACCAGGACAGATGGTGGTCCTGGAAATGATGAAAACAGTCCTGAACTTCCAATGTATACATTGATTTGTTACATTCCCTCTCTCCCATGTATTTTTACTCTGTTAATAATTCTACCTAGAGTGACTATTTGGCTTCAGCTCTCACCAGGCCTGCAGAGAGTCCCCTGGGCCGAACACAAATCTTAAACAGAACTTTCAGTTATCGCATGAATTGTTATTGACCCCTATGAGAGTACAAATATATCCTTGATTCATAATCTCCCCCAAAAGGGCCTGTTTACTGATAGTATATATAAACCTGAAATAAAATGCAGCCCAGTGCTGGTATATTGTAATCAAGATTAAATAAAAAAAAATTATAAGCAAGCAGTGACCAATGCATAACATGTGCTGTATATATTTTTTTATTTATAGAAATGCCTTAACCCCGTGTCACACAAGTTCCAGTAATATGTCTTTGACCAGGGTCACAGTTGATCAAATTGTGAATGTTCAGAGTTTTACAGTAGCTTTTGGATTCCTCAAGTCAGAAACCCTCTAGCCTCAACCTAAGGAAATACTGAATCACACAAGGCAAGAGTTCTGGCAGGGATTTCATTAGGGCCAGAAATTCATGCATCATACCGCAACAAAACCTCCAACTTGTGACTGACTGTAGACCCATTAAAAGCCGACGGGAATATCACAAATGGTTGGCTTTGTTTAGAGGTCAGGAAAGAATAGACCTCAATGGGTGTATCCAGACAAGCACAGGTGTTTTTTCTCTGGGTACAACTAGCAGAGGCACAACTTGTGTATGCTCATGCACGCTCTGGCCCCTGAAGCCCTAACCTGGGGTCCTGGGGGGCCTCCCAGGGCTGCAGCTGCAGCAGGAAGCCTGGGAGGCAGCTAGAGTGTGCACCACTTGACTTTTTTCGGTGTGGGTTTTTTTGAACCTGGGATCTCCTAGGGTCAACTCCCCTCTCCTCCTCCCCACCCCCACTGCAAGGTAGAAGTGCAGGGAATGCCTGCATGCGCAGTGGTTGGCATTGCACATGGGTCTGTGGTGCCACATACTGCATGTCCCCGCTTGTCTGGATACAGTCAACAAGTCCAAACTTTTAGGATATTTGTGTCAAGGATGATTTCCCCTTCCTTCTGTCCTCAGCTCCTTGTTTCTAAATATCAAAAGTTAAGGATCAAGATTTCTGGAGGAGGAAGAGAAAAATTTGAACTCTGGGGAGTCAGATACATAGAGTACATGGAAGGGCATGAAGAGTAAGAAAAGTGAGGTCTTTAATAGGTTTTAAAAGTGGATGAATAGTCACGTTTCAAGGGTTTCTTTGAAACAAGTCTCTGAAAACGTCATGCTTTGGCAGGGAACATACAAGATATTGAAAATTTGTTTATAAAGTTACAGTAGCTCTGTTTGTGAAATCTTATATTTGAAGACATTTGAAAAATATCCCATATAAATACATAAACACAATCAGTCTGTGGAAAAACATTTAAACCCCCACCCCCAAAACAAAAACAGATGGAAAAGTGGCAAACAGGAAAGAAAAGAAAAACCCAAAAAGAAATCTGGTAAAGCTTTTTACAAAGATAATCTTTTATACGCTGTATTTTGAATCTTTGCTTTTCAATGCTTTTAGCAATGTCTCCTCTCAAAGAAGGATGTGGCAATATTCCATACCTACACCCAAAATCTTAATATTTCCTTTCTTTTCTCTCACCAACCTTTCTGGATGGTCTGTATATCACTTTCAAAAGCCAAGAGGTATGTTTTTATCATGAGATATGGCATTCTTTCTTCCATTCTTTCCTCCTTCCCCACCCACACCAATTTCTAGAAATGGTCCTGTATCCTCTCTCAGATGGCTTTCCATGAAATATCAAGAATAATATATTACCACAGTTGCTGCCCATCATAAGATGTGGTTTTTGTGACAACAATATTTGGGTTAGGGCTGGAGTTATCCACCCTGTAATAAAATTTGCTCAAACCTGTTGGGGCCTGAAACAATTGAATAAATTAGAAAGTTAAGGCTCATGTATCTTAAGTCACAAGGGGAAAAATGCAAGTGGTATGTAATCACTGAGGAGGCTAACATCTGGTAAGTGTCACAGGATACACCTCCTGAGGCTGGAGGTGGCATCGTCTAGCAGCCACTTCAACTCTATCCTGTCCTACTGGTCTCTTGGACCACTGCCTTATGCTTGCCTGCCACTTCTTGATATTCAGTTAATAAATATGGGAGGCTGCCCTCAAAAACCAAAGTAAGGTTTGGCATTTTATTCCACCTTGCTCATCCTTGGGTGGCTGTTTTCTGACCCAATCACTGCCTGAGCAAGGCATTACTCTTCTTTCCTGCCTTGCTGCTCCAGGCTCACTGGCCCTGCCTCCCTGCTCTGCTGTTATATCTAAACTCTCTGGCTTTTGGGCACTAATTGTGCCCTCTTAGCTCTAACTGTCACCCTATTTGTCTTAATTGAGGCCTCCACCCTTACCCATAGCCATGCTTATGCCTCATTGGTCTTCTTCTACCAGGTTCTCTCACCCTACCTGGGCTACAAACCATTGGGCCCTTGGCCCTTGCAAGGCTGTCCCTAACTGCACACTTCCCCTAGGCTCCTAGCCCTGTCTGAGCATCAGCCTGCCAGGCATGGGTTTGCTCTCTTGGCTTTAGCTGACTCAATCCACTGGACCCCTGGTCCTAGCAGGTTTGTATGTATTTACTGGGCCCCTGATCCTGCCTTGGCTTTAGCCCACAGAGCCCACCAGATTCCAGATCCTTGCAGGGCTCTATCTGGGCTTCAGCAACTCTTAGGCATGGAGTGCTTTCCAGGCACCCCACTAGAACATAAACACCAAAGGTAAAGAACTATAGTACAAATCATTTAACTTTCAGAGATGTTCAGCAGAGTTTCTCTCTCTAGCAGGATCAGGGCCAATCTGAACCTCTAGCTCCAGGCTTGGGATTATAAGGCCCTTTCTTCTCCACCTTCCAGTCACCTGATCTGGCCCTGTGGCAACAGGGTCTGGGAGTTGCTACTTACCTCATCAGAAGCCTCCCATTCCCCTGCCTGCAGGCTGAACCCTATAAGCTCTCTCTGGCTCTCTCTTGTAATACTGGGGTTGCTCATTTGCCTAATTATGAGGAGCCTGCACCTTGCAGCTTACTTCTCTGTAAGCTGCACTGCCCCAGACAGCCTCCTGACACTGCATTTAGTTCCTTCCAGTAGCAGGGATAGGGATCCTCTGCAACAAGAACCTTTAGAGCAAATAATGACACTAGAAATAAAACCAGAAGTAAATCAGTAGAAGATTTTTTTAATAACTGACAACCAGATTTTTCTCAATTATCCATGTCAAACTTGTGCAGCCAAAGAAAGTTATCCAGAAGCTTTTTCTTCATTGGATGGTGGGCACTGTATTTTTGTACTCTCCTTCAACATAGGAAATACTGGAGATCCCACTGACAATATATATGAAGAAGATGAGCATGAGGACTGGTTCATCAGATATATGCCAAAGTGTGTCTGGAAAAAAACAAAACAACCCCCCCCAACTAATTAGGAAGTTAGGAAATTCACAGAAATCTGTGAATAAGGTGGATCTCACAACTATAAAAACAAAGGACACGACCATTATTTTCCTAAAATAAAAAAGAGTTTTCATTAATTATAAGCATAATAGACAGATCAGAGCCAGTTTCAGTTTATTCAACATGAGAACTTGCAGCAACCAAATACATACAAGGATATTTCTCCCCTCAGTCCCATATGTATAGATATATATATCATTTACACTCCTTCACAACCTGGTAATTTAATGAGAACTCTGGCTTTCTGACAAACATGGTTAATACATTTTTCAGAAAATGTTCACAGGGTAGACAGAGTAGGGATGCACATATGTTCAAACAGTGAAGCAAAGCCTTGCGCTTCATACCATGAATTATTCGCTTTGCTAGTAGAATTTTTTTTACGTCTAGCGCTTTGTGAATGTTCCCTTCATTTGTTTATATGAATATTTTAGTATATTTTACTGAAAGTATTCTGAAAGTTTGTTCTACTTGGTGAATCCATCATTCATTTTCTTTTGCCAGCTGTGAAGCCATCCAACAAATACAAATCAGAAACATTTATAAACATAGTTCTGTGATACTTGTGATCACCACACAGTGGAGACAAACATCAAACAGCTGTTTTACTCACTCTCCATCCATGTTTTGCACTGCAGGTTTAATTCTGCAGAGCGTCTAGCAGTTTTTTTCTAGTGCACTTAAGTAAGTGCTTAATTTTAGTACATGCATAGTCCTGCTCACTGCAGTGGATAGTAGGCTGTAATCAGGTTTGGATTAACACTTTAATGGGCCCTAGGCAAACAAACTGGTGGGCCCCTACTTTTTTTCACCCAATAATTATAATATGTAAAATAAGCACAACTGGGCCCCTTCTTCATTTAGGGTCCTAGGCATGTGTCTACTATGCCTATCTGTTAGTCTGGCAAAAGTTCTGTTAAAATAAATTGCTGAGGGGATTTGGGATATATTTTCACCAGCGCATTTTTTTCTAACAGTGCTTATTTTAGAAATACATCAGAATGGAGGTAGAACCACCTTGCTATCTCAAAAAAAATATTCTACTTGCGTACCTGACTATACAGCAACTCCTGTTACTGCACACTCCTGGGGGTGCACGGGTCATTTCCAACCCTACTACGCAATAGCAACAGGCTGCTGAGTAGTAGCTCGCTGCTACTAAGCAGTAGTGTCAGTGTCACGGTTCCTGCCCGCCATTGCTACATTGCCCTAGGAACAAGCTATGTGGCTGTAGCTTTTTGCTATGGCGACGTAGCATCTCATGTAGCTACGCCCCTTGAGTCTTAGAATAATTTTAGATGAAGAAAGTTATCAGAGGGAGCATGTACACATACACTAAGGTGCTTTTTCTAATGCACATGAAATTTAGTACCTCCAATGTGAGGTACTAAAGAAATGTACATTAGGCTGTCTTAATGTGCAGTAATGATTAAGCACAGTTTTTAAGTGATGCTTAATGCGCAATAGCCTATTTTACTGCTCACTAGTGTAATTGCACAGTTTTTATGTGATGTTTTAATGCACAGTAAAAAAGTCTACTGTGCATTAAAGCGCACATGTAGATGTAGCTACATGAAATCTGCCTTGAAAAGTTTTTCATCAAAATTGGGTTTTAGAATAAACTTATTCCAGAAAGTGTATGCTGTTCTCATAATTTTTTTTTCCAGAAAAACAAAAATGGAATCTAATTTAAAAACATTTTTTGGTATGTTTTAATGAAACATCATTTGTTTTTTCTGACAGTCCATGTGCAAGAGTTTTGGTTTTAGCTTCTAGAAACTGTAAATTATCCAATTTTGGGCTTTTCAATGAAAGTTGTAATTTTCCATAGATCTCTCCCCTCTTCTTTATTTTCCCCATTGTCCAATGTTCAATTAAGAGGTGTGAAATTGAGAATTAGAATGCTAGATTACATAGAAGTTAGATTAAATAGAAACATCCCAACTAATGGGATCTTTAATAAATAAGATCCATCTGCTACCTAAATTAAAATCTATGTATTTTAATTATTTAAATCTTACAGCAATATCTTTGATTCCTTTCCTATTCAGGCAATGAAAAAAAAATACGATGGAAAATTCAACAGGTACAAGTCCTTCTATAACACTAAACAACATGACTCAATGTAGAAATTGTCTCCTGTGAAATGAGATGGATGAGGTACAACAGGAGCTTGGAAAGTATATTAGTTTGACTTGGAACTTTTACCTTATTTTTAAATTTATGATCTTGAAAATAAGAAAAAGGGTACTCCACATAGGATTTTCTTTTCTATTACTATATACATTCCCATAGACCTGCTAGAATCCAGATCAACCATGACATTAAAATTAAGAAGTCAATACAGATTTTATTTGAAATACTGATTTCATTTAAATGATTACCCTACTGTGGCCTCATATACATATTCAGTTTCTCCTGGGAGAGTCACTTCTCTCCCAGGAGAAGCCATGAGCATAAAGATATTCAGGCTTTTTCTCCCATGGCAAAACTGGCTGCTTCAGGAGAAAAATAACTGGGGAACAATCAGGGTTAAATCACCCCCAGGAGAGTTTCTCCTGGGAGAATGAATGTCTGTACATGCTATGGCTTCTCTCAGAAGAGAACACAATTCTCCAGCATCACCTCCCCTCCTACCCCAAGACAGATAGTGTGTCCCTCACTGGATTCTGCAGCTCTAGCAGACAGTAGAATATGTCCCCTGCACAATCCCCACATTGTGCTGCAGGAAAACACAAGCTGAGCAAGGGCAGTCTGGGTAGGACAATCAGAGCTACCCTATGCACTGCTTCCATCTGTTGCCAGACAGACTAAGGAAAGCATATTGAGATGCCTCCTCTGGCTGGACAGTGTCAGCGCTGCAAGGTCTTCACTCTTTAGAACTTCAGCATTTGAATGTTTGTACATGTGACTCTGGATAAGTTTCTCTACCAGGAGAACAAACCTAGGAGAATTTTCCCAGATTATTTAAATGTGTACACAACTTCTTATTGTTTTACTGGGCAATAATCTGTTATTTGAATAAATTATATTCTCCAGAATTACAATTAATCTACTGGCAAGTGGCTCAGTTTTCTATAAAATAATGCAAATCTAATTTTCTACCTTAATTATTCTATTAAAAAAAACAGATAGGCATATGTCTATATTGAATAATGAATTAAAAATTAGGCTATATGTCATACATGAAAGAATAACATCACTATAAATAAACTGACTCTAAAGTTAACAGCTTTTTCTATATAGATCTTGACGTACAATCATCTTGGTTTACTTCCAGAACGACAAATAGGCAAATAAAACAATATTTTGGTTTTTATTTTATTTTGTGAGTTGAGATCAGATTTAGATTTTAACATTTTTAAAAAAAAAATTAGCAAATTTGTTAATATTTTGAAGCTACTTGGCAAAAGGCATTTATACTCATACTGTGTTTTCTCACATACAATGTACCCTTTCCTCCAAAATCAGCCCCCTAATATTAAGGTGTCTATTTTAAGAGGGAAAGCTGTTTTCTTCACTGGAGAAGCATTGTACCTGGAGACAACATTTTATTATTTGCATTCCTCAAACATTATTTCAAATATTTGACATTTGTATTTTGTTATTCTAATTGGCTAAGTCACATAACATAGTTTTCTGTCACCTGATTGATTGACTCCTATGGAATTTTATGCATAAATGTGTGTGTTTACTTGGAAAAGTGTTTGCATAAAAGCACATTTTCATGAAGATATTGCTAACATTTTTCTTTTCATGAAAATTCTTGGGACCAACACTTGCTAGTTAGCACTAAAAGTGAATAAAAAATGCAATACTCCTGTAGTAATTTTCCTTATTCTATTCAATAAAAGTACTCTGGGAATATTTGTTTAGCTATATTTCTGACTACACTTACCAAAAGAAACCTTCCTAAAAAGACTCCTACGCCACACCATCTTTACTTTGAAGAAAATACAAAACTAGAATTGTTTCCTTTTACTAGTTCCCTGTTAAAGAAAAAGAGGCTTTCAGCCCTTGAGATTATAGCTTGCAGAGTTTTTACAATGGACCATTTAATCTCTCTCTGTTGCTAGCTACTCTTTTCTCACTTGAAGGGCATTTTATTCTGCATACAACTTCCACTTTACAATCTAGGAACTCAGTAAGTACTGCCGAGCTGTGAGGTCTTTTGTTCTATACAGTCTGTCTTCTGATGGCAGTAGGGGGATGTAATGTTAGCTTCCCATTACTCATTACAGTGGGAAAATGTGAAACTACTTGTGTGGTAAAAGCATAATCCAACAAGCAGGGGTGTAAATACAATACACTTACCCTTACAGAAGAGTGTATGTTGAGAAAGTCATTATCCTTGCTTACAGTGATAGCAAAGCAATAATATCCCATCATTTTTATGTGTTTTTTCAAGTACTTGTGCCACATAAATGGATATATGCAACACTTAGACATCTATTCACATATAAATACACTTAGTTCAAAACAGGACTTGGTAAGTGTTCTTGTTTGGTTTAAAGATCATATAAAATAGGATCAAAGACTAGAACTTAGTTCAGAGATTATAACTGTAGGATTCCATTCCTGTATTGGTCACAAAATTGCTTTCACTCAGTGCATTTGAGTTCCCCTGTGGCTTATTTTTGTCATAGATGACAAAAGGATATAATGTAATCTTCCCTTCTACAGAAAGGCATTGTAAGGTTAATTACAAGTGTCGGTCAAAATTTTCAAGCGGGTTATCTGTTGGACAAAAATTATTTGCCATACTTGAAGTCAATGAAGAAGAAAAAAATAAATTCAAAGCATTACATTGTAACATTTTCTTAACAAACTGTTCTGATCTTTCATTTTGAAAGGAAGAGGTTGAGACAATAAATAATCTACATTCAAGTAAAAAACCACCCAAAAAAGGAACAGAAAATTGCTGGACAAACAGAACATTTTATTTGACTGGCATCTATCTTTTCAGGATTTATTTTTGGTGAGAAATGGAATTTTGTTTTCCACCCACCACTTAGTTTTTATTTTGGTTCCTGCCATCAAACTGAGAAATCAAATACTTGCACAGGTCTCAACTACTTGAAATAGGCCTTGTAAAAGTGTTCCAGATGCACAAATGAAAGGCACTAGGCATAATATAAAGGACTATACTCTATACTATGATGATGACAGTAGTACTGCTACATCAGATAAAAGAAATAATTTGATAATCTTAGCAACGATGGTGTGCATAGTCCAATAGTCTGGAGTCTAATTCTGTGAGGAGTTTTTCTCTTGAAGAATCATAGCAGTTCTGACCATGGGTCAGAAACTGCAGGAAGATCCTCACAGTACCAGGGTCTTAGCACATAAGGACACACACAGACTAAGAACATTTGCTTTGGTGTATTTATTTATTTAGATTTATATCTGGCCCTACTTAGAAGGTCAGAGCAACTTATAGACAAGATTCTCCAAACAACATCCCCAAACCTGAGAATTTCAGCCCTCCTGCCTTCAATCACACCTGCCCTACCAAACTCCCCATAAAAACCAACCCTCCCCATCAATCCCAAGCATATCTCCCAACGTCTAGTTGCAATGTAAACTGGAAAGAATCTTGAAAAAATAGGTTCTAGTCCAGTGTATTCTTTTCCAGTCTCCTATAGCACCTACATCTAAGAACCTATAAGAATGGAGTGTTCTGTCAGACATGGAAAGATTTTTGCTTTAAAGTAATTTTTTAACAAAAGTTGCCTCAGAAGTGATGTCAGCAGAGATCAAGTTTATTCTGGAACTGGATTTGCATTTTGTTTAAAACAATACAATAGAAATTTTAATGGAATGCAGTTGGATAAGATGTATGGCCCTATTGCATGTACAACTATCAGAAAACAGGTATAATGCTAGTTGAAATTACGGATCCTGATTTTCAGCAGCATTAAACACTTGCTGAACCCATTGTCTTCCAGTGAAGCTCTAGGGACAGCTCTTAAAAATATTTTAAACAATAAACATTTGACTACTCCTTGCATCTCTTACTATTGATTCTTTAATTCAGTGCTAGAATCCACTGAAATGGTCTAACCATAGGGAAACTATGTTTGCTAAAGTTTGGTACATTTTTGTTGTAAAAAACAAAAATGAAAAATGGAAGAAAATGACAAAACACTACAATCCTTGGCTTTAAAAAAAAAAAAAGTGTATGGAATTTGAGGTCCAAGTAGCTAACATGTCTAGGCAATGCTTTTAATATCTTAGCTACCATAGTTACTCAAATCCAAGATGAAAGTTTTTCCAAAATGAGCGGGGGAGGGAGGGGGGAAGCCTTGACTTGAATTCAAGTATTGGTGCAGGGCAGGTGGTGTCTGAACTTTGGTTTTGGCCCCAGACTCAAGGCTGAGCCTGGAGCTATCACCTGCCCTGGGCCACAATGACTTATTTGGTGGGGGAGGGGGTTCAAAGCCAGGGGAGCATGGGGTAAACCACAGGATGAAGGCAGAGGAAGGGAGAGACCTGTGCATGCAGCATAGGGAAACACAGGGGAGAGGTACAGCCTGCCTTCCCCGCTTCCCAGATGCCCCCTCCAGCCTTGCTCTGGCTTGTCCCAGCTGGGCAGCTTGTCCCAGCCCCAGCCCCAGCCCCAGCCCCTCCCTCACTGTGGGGGAGTTGATCTGCCCCCCGCCATGCCCCTTCCCTCCCACCTGCGCCCAAAACAGACTTACCACCTGGAGGCAGCTGTGTCCAGCATGGTGGAGGACTGCTACCTGTTTAGTCTATGGCCAAATCTTTGAATCAGCACCGAATCACTCCAAATTGATTCGAAGGCTTTCAAATTGATTCGAACCTTTTATTGGGTCTCCCAATTCGATTCAGATTTGGAGATTTGGCTGCTGAATAGGGCTGAATCTCCTCTAAATTGAACTGGAGACTGAAGCTTCGCACAGCCCTACTAACTGAGACTGCTTCATCGTCTTAAAAGGGCAGGAGCCCCTTGGTTGAATTGTTGGTTGCAGGTAGACTTGTATGAAGGGGTTCTTTAACTCTGACTGAAGCAAACAGAAGCTGAACGCTACGATGAGGAACAAGTAGGAATGGCTTCATTTTCCAACTTTTGTGAGTTAATTCACCAGGGAATATTTCCATGTTTCTTGAGAATTCCCTTGAATTTGGATTATGTATATCATCAAGACACTCTATCTTTTAGTTGGCATTTTAGTGTTAAACTAACCTTTCTACCTCTGGCATTAGACAGAGACTGCAGGAATTCCTTGTTTCGCTCTCCAGATTTTTGATCTATGCAGATAATTTGGCATCTGTTGCATGGACCTACAACCTGAAATTTCAAAAGAAAGAAGCTGTCAGATACATATTGAAAACATAAAACCCCTCAAATCCATGATCCTTATGATATTTTAGTAACTGAAACACTTCATAAACCTTTTTTGAAAGTTTTTGCATTGCATAAAAGGGCCAATTCCGCTTCCACCAATTCAGGGTGCAGTCAGGAGTTCAAATTCTGAAGGCATCATTTAGATTTATTCACTTTTTGTTTGAGCAGAATTCTCAGTTGGCTAAACCTGAGAAATACTGGACAGTTGCATTTCCCAATAACTCGATTTGGTTCACTGCCTTTACATGAACCAAATTTGCCTAAGTATAAACTAAGGGTAGCAATCTTATTCCCTTTCTGGTCATCCAGCTCTCTAGATTTGGTTGCCTATCTGTTACATTTTATTTTTTCCTAGTCATCCACTGTACATTTTTGGCACTTAGGCACCTAGAGAAATTCTATTCCTACACATGTGAACAACTACATATGCACCTAGAATGGACACAATAGAGAGAGAAAGAGTTGTTTGGGCATTTACCTCAAACACATAGATAGCTAATTTACCTGGGAGATGGGTGGACTTGCTCTCTTACCAAGATGGGATTTGAACCTAGGTATCTTGGACTTTCTAGCACAGCATGCTAATTATCACACAGCAGGTCAGCCATTTTGCTTTTTCTTGGGCAGGCATGAGAGGGAGATGTGTGGGAAGTATGTGGGTCAGGAGTAAGAGAGCAAGTCAAAGGTTCATAGCTCAATGAGGTGGCTGCTAGCCTAGAAGAAAAAGGTCCCTGGGTTCCAGTGTGGGTCCTTGTCTCCAGTGGGGCAAAAGTTTCATTCCTGTATTCCCCTCCATCTATTTAATCCAATGATCATGTTAGTGGCTCAGCTTCAAAAAGTGGACCAGAAAAGGGCATGGATAATAACTAATCTGTGGTGTGGTGGTCAGAGTTTGGGGCTGGGAAGTGAGATAGGCCCCAGTTCAAACCTGTGGGTAAATAGGGCCTAGAACTCAGGATCTAAGCTATGGAGGACCTACCACACCCACACACAAACCTTTTCTGTTTTTGATGTGAAGTCTGGCAGTCACAGGGTCTGGCTATGTATATAGGAAATGAGTTTTCCTGAGTACATAAATGCCAAAAATACCTTGTGGATGACCAAAAAATGGCCACTTACATGACATGGAAAGCATGGAATGCCCCCCCTAAGTAAGGACTTCAGGTTTGGATCAAATGAGGGTTGTCTCAGGTGTAATTTAATAGGATATGTTCAAGGTGACCGAAGCAGACAAATTTGTCTTTTCCCTTTTTTGTGGAGAGGGAAGAAGGTTTGATTTTTTCAGAGCATCTTGTGAAAGCTTGGAAAGCAAAATCTGCATTCACAAATTAGAGGGTTGGAAGGAACCACTGTGACCATCATCTAGTCCATCTTCCCATAGAATGCAGTGGGTGCGTATACACAAGATGCTACATCACTATAGAGATGAACTATGTCACCATAGCTCATTGCTACAGCAAGGTAGTGTTGGCAGGCATGACCTGTGACACTGACACTGCTGCATAGTAACAACTGTACGTGTAGATGCACCCAGTTCGTAGGTCTTCATTGAAATAATCCGTTTGAACTACAGTAGATCCTTTATAAAAACATCCAAACTTTGATCTTACTGTAGGTACAACTATGAATTTCTTTTTGCCCTTTAGGGGATTAGAATAAAGATGACATATGCCTGCTTCACTTAATGTGCCAGAAACTTCTGCAGAGCCCTATGCTAGGCATAATAACCAATAGCTCTCAGAGTTTCTCACGACAGTTTCTCCTACTTTTATAAGCACAAAGCTCAAATGGGGCAAATAATTAAAGGTCATACTCCAAATGTTTTCATATGATGATCTGAGGAGTTACCTGGGTTCCTGAGGGCACAACTCTATCTGACAGTAAAACTTCCCTCTGTAATCATCTAAGCCAAATGTTTGGCTCTGATTTTTCAGAAAATGTGTCTCTCATGAATACCTTCTGCTTAACTCCAGCATAGTTATTATTTATTAAAAGAGAGAGAGAAAAAGGAATTTTCCTCCTCTTTTGCTTTGTCACAGTGCGGTAGCATTGTCTACCATTTCACTATCAAGCAACATGCTATTGCATTTCTACTGCTATTTTATCAGTGTTTGCATCACCCTCAAGAAAGAACTTACCAGAGCTGCAAAAGACAATTTAAGTTTCACAATGTCTTTCTGTAGAACAGGGGTAAAAATCATTCAGTGATACTCCATAAACTAGACAGAGATCTGAACCAAAATGCCAGCAGATATTATTAATCCAAAATGTAGCTGATCTGGGGTGCTTTCTCTATCAAGAATTGTTACAAATTTGCTGAATAAATCAATTTCTCCTTTAAACTGGAATGAAGTGTTGTTTTTTGTTATTAGTGTCTCACATAACGGGGTCCTGAAGTGCAACTCCTAAATGCTACTACAATACACATTATATATAACAACAATGATGGCTGTGTGGTCCTGTTTTTAACTTGCTCACAAAGAAGTTTCTTCCCATCTTACTAACTCAGAGGTACTATAGCTTATTGAGTTACATATGGTATTGGCTCAGAAAAGAAGCAGCAAGTCATATATATACTATTGATATTTACTACTGACAATAAGCTAAACAATTATCTATCTTTCTCATAGAGGATACTGAGCTGAAAATACCCATGGGTATTTTTAGGCATAGCTTCAGCATATCTGTTATTCATGCCCCTGCTAGCACAATACTGAATGAGAGTGCTCTATGTTCTAGATGATACATTTCCTACAAATACACAATCTAGAGCTAAGCAGCAGCCCAGGTACTTGGAATGTTTGATGACTAGCTGGTTCACTCCCTAATGTCTCATGAAGAGCTTTTCTATTGCAGGCAATAGCACAAATAAAGTAAGGGCATTCAGGTCTCATGTTGTGGAAACTACTTAATTCAGATGCTCAATTTGGTTGTGAGTAATTTTTTTTACAATGAATCTTGTGGTAGTGTAACAGTGTCATTGCTCAGGTGGCTGTGAAGCCCCAGGAGTCCCTTACCCACTCTGGGCTCTGTGGGCAGTCACCCCTTCATTCGCCCACCACATCTTGATGTATATTGCTTTTATACAAAGGAGGCTGCCCCAGGGCATCCCAATTCTGGTCTCATCCTAATGTCTACCAAGTGCCCACGGTCACTGTCTTAAGGGCTAATTGCTTGGCTCCATTCTGCCCCTACACCATGATCCAGGCTTCACAGGTGTCACCTCTCTGATATTCTCTATGTTCTCAGCCCCACTCTGGGCTACCAGATGCTCAGGTCCCACACTCAACCCCTTGGTCTCTCACTCAGCCACTCTCTGGGCTCCTGGACCCCCTGGCTCCACACACAGCCCCTCCCTGGGCACTCAGACCCCTTGGTTTCTCATTCAGCCCCTCTCCAGGCTCCTAGACTCCTTTACTGGGCCCCCAGGGACCTCCTCCTCCCCATAGTCCCTTCCCAAACCTCCATACTGCTGCAGGCTGTTCTCTCCATGCTAGCACTCAGCAACTACAGCCATCCTGCTTAGGAGTTGTTCTCTCAGCAGTCTCTAGGATCTCACCATTGGCTCAGCTCAGGGCCAGGACTTATAATTAGTCTAAGCTCAGTCCTCCTCCTGGGTCAGATGACTTCGCAGTCACCCCAGCCATACCTGCAGGCTGCTTCTCAGGCATGGTCCCTAATTGTCTTCCTGCCACACCTGCAGCCTGCCTCAGTCATAGCCTGCCTGCAGCAGGAGCTCCAAGCCGCCTGCTACAGGTAGGCACATACAGATGTTACATATAATCCACAAGGCTTGCATCAGTGATAAACTCATCTGATGTTATTCACAGATACCATATTTACTTGAATATAAGATGAGGTCCTACCCTTCCCCCCCCCCCAACAGTATATTTGCATACGAAGTGGACGGGGGAGCAGGTGCTGCTGAAGCTCTGATTCTGGACCTGAGCCTAGGTCTGGGCCAGTTACACCCACAGCAGCCTCCTCCCCACTCCCCCACCCCATTTCTCTTTTGCAGAGTATGCCTCCCTCCTGGCCAACCCCTTTCCCCCATTACTGTCAGGTGCAGCTCAACTGGCTCAGGCTGGGGTCTTTCCAGGGCATGGAGCCCATGTAAACTCCTTCCCCTGCCCAGCCAATCAGCAGCATTGAAACTGCTACATGGCCAGACAAGGGCTGATCTTCTATGTGCTGTGCTTGGGGATGGAGCAACCCAAGAAACTTCTGACACTAAGGAGTAAGGGAAGTGGCAGGGACTGGGGAATTGGAAGGGAAGGGGCATAGACAGGGGGGAGCTTGGGGGGAAGAGGCAGATACTGGGGAGAAGAAGGGAAAGGGTAGAGACTGGGGGAGTAGAGGGTGTGGGAGCTGGGAGTAGGGAGCTACAGGGGCAGGGGAGGCAGGAAGGCTGCACAGGGAAGAAGTGGGTGGGACAGAGGGCAAGGGGACCACCTCACCCCACCCCTCCCCTCCCCTCCTCTCCCCTCCCCTCCCCTCCCCAGCCACTGCTTTCCCTGTAGCGGTGTGCATGTGTGCGTGTGTGTTTGTGTGTGGGGAGGAGGGGGAATTCAAGACAACCCTTCAATACTTACATTCTATGCCTGGAAAATAATAACAAATGTATACATTTTCCATCTATAGAATCTACTTATGAGGGGGTCATCTTATATTTGCATAAATACAGGATTAACAAAATATCCACAATGAGGGGAAATGGTAGTTAAGGAAAAGGACTTTTGGAGATCCAAGGCATAATAGAGTGATACTCACAGATTCCAGTCAGGATGGTAATACTATGTGAATAACTTTTTTCTGCTACATTTTGATTAGAGATGGGCTCTAGCTACAAAATTCTTATTTAATTTTTTGGGTCCCCACTGCCATCCAGCCTTCAAACTGAACCCTCTCAGAATCAGGCTTGCTTGGACCTTGGTTCAAAGTGT